TTAGTAAATGTTTCCATCCCTTGATGGTGGGGCATTCCCCTTTCACCTACACTTGTTGAAATGGGTGGGTAGTATTTGGTGTCCGTAGGGTTGACTGCTTGCCATTTGAACTGAGCTAAACATTGCTACTCATTCTTTAGTTTCTATTACATTTCCATTACAAGTCCATTTCCCTTTTCAGTTAATTGGCTGACATATTTTCTCCAGTTTTCTTCAGACCTAACACATTGGTTGAAATCCTGACCTCTCTCCAGTTATTTCAGCAGAGCCATAATTTCATTTGTTATCCATGATTATGGTCAAATTTAAAGTCATTTAAAAATGTTGGGGTTTTGCTGTTGGGATAATTAGACTTAATGACTCCAACATCTTGATTTTCTTTCTTAATATGCTCCGAGCTGCAAGTCTTGCTATCAAGCTTAATAAGGTGATCTGCCTTAGCACTCAAAAAGGATTCTGCAAAAATTTGAAAATTATTTGTCTAATCAGTGACAGAAGTTTGTGCCCAAAAAGAGCTTTTAAAGAGAGATTTAATCAAATGCTCATGGAGATGCTGCTCAACTGCATTATATGTGTGCATTGGGAGTTCCTTTCTAATGGGCAATACTGATAGATATGCAAAGGATGCTTTTCCTACTAGGGCCTGAGAACACAGTCTTTTGCCTGGTATGAAGAAACTGGAAATGGAATCAAACTCAGGTATCCCGTGTGAAAGCAGCAATAGTATGTTATGTTACTTGATACAGGTAGGCATTTCTTACTCTCCACTACATTAAAAAATACAATTTGTCATATTAAACAGTAACATGCATACAAAAATACTCAATATACTTCATTCTAAGTCTTAGGAGTCATGAAAAAAGATGCCTATTTGTACTGAGTAGTTCAGAATATACGTATACTAACCGTGACTCTCGGCAATAGCATATATGTATATTTGTATTTTAAGTAAGTGGCACAGTTTGCAATCACTTAACAATATGCATACGTACATATACAAATTATATTTGAGTTTTATTTGTGTACATATTAATATTGAAGTAATATCTGTAAAACTCTAAAAAGGATCCGGGGGAAATTGAGGGATAATAAATGGGCAAAATAAAAGCAGACAATTCACACAATGTGTAATTAAGTTGCAGGAGGTGTTTGAGGATAAATATTTAGCAAGATGCCAAAAGGGTTTTGACGTTTATATTATCATAATCATAATATATGTAATTGTTGCTAATGAGTTTTGGAAGGGATATTAAACTTCAGAGTTCCCGTCAATTTCTAACATCAAAGGTCAGAATGAGACTTAATGCTGGGAGCATTTTATCCCATATTGTCGACTGCAGGATTCTTTTCTTCTGAAGGGTTTAGTGCTGGCCACAAATGGAAATGAGATACCTGTATTAGAATCATGTGAGGTTTCACCAATGAGGCTGAAAATCATGTAATCTGTAGATTGATACCTCTTTGGTTTGCATTATCCTATGTCTTCATAAGTTCGTACTAAACTTCATGATGTCTCCTACAGGTTGGAACTCTCTAGTCTGGCACTCTTGGCCCTGCCAGACCACGGATGTTGCCAGACCAGAGAGTATTGGATTTGGGAGTTTCAACCTGTACTAAATGTTACTATGTTGTATTAATCTAAATCAAAATTTCACATACCATATGTGATACTTGTGTTGACTAATTTTCCTCTAAACTAAGATGGAAAATAAATTTAGTTGTGCTAATTTCATTTTCTGAAGTCACAGAAATCAAGCCTAATATTAGAAAAATATTCAACTTTGAGTTTAAAAAATGGCTTAAAGTATTTGTTTAGTTACGTTTTGAATACAAATGTTTCCATGTTATTTAAATAATAAAACAGAAGAAAAACCAGAGCTTTCAGTTCACAAGCATATAAAACCATTCAGTAAATAGCTGGTCTGACAGTCCATCAGTAACATCACTGAAGTGGTGGAACTACATGTCTTTGTATCAGCTAAGAATTTAGCCACATGCTTTTATCTAGCATCATTAATGCTCAGTGTCAGAGGGTTATTTATTTATTTATTTATTTATTTGCTTTTAAAAGCAAACCAGGAATCTTAGCTATAGTATTTTGGAATATATCACATAACCTACCTACCTTCACCCAGAGAGCTATTCATCATTCTATAGAACAATATGCAGGTATAACTCAGCCCAAACTGTTGATGCCATTCTTGAATATATGATTTTAATGGAGTACAGTAGGAATTTCACTCTACTTCTTTTCAGGAGGAATTACTTAGAAGTTCACTTTCTCCTCGACTAATCTACTCACAAGACACTGATGGTTCTGTTCATCAATGAACAAAATCCTGATGTTCTATTTCAGGCTTTATACAGGCACATATTAAGCAAGATATGGGAACACCTCAATAGTCTCACTGAAATCAATGGGGTTACTCACATGCTTAGAGTTAGGAAAAACATATCTTATTGCTGACTCAAGGGCCTTAATTCTTACACAGATTCCTAGATATCTACCATAGTAAGAGTACCAGAATTTGGTCCTATATTAGATGTTGGTTAACTGCAACAACAGGAGAGTTAGCACATTTTTTTCCTTACAGTAAAAAATGCTCCCCTAGTTCCATCCCACATATTTTACCTCTGTCTTCTGCCCACAGCATCCTTTAATATTCATTCAAGGTATCATCAGAAGTCATTTTTTATACTGCAATCTCTAAGGAAACTCCCACAGCTTAACTAAGCTAGAGCCATCTGCTCTTAGTGATCCGTACACATAACGCATAGTGACAGACTATCAAGCCATCAGCATGGAATGGCCAATGGTAATTCAGAAAAAGAAAGGTAGAGTCAATGGTGAGAAAGATAGGAAAGCCAGTTCAGAGGGGAAATAAACAAGTGAAATAAGCTTTTGGGTTGTTTACATTTTTAATTGAAGTTCTAGAAAGTCTGAGTAACCTATTTCTCATTGTTAATTTTCCCAGGAATTTCCTGGCAAATTTGCCTTTTGATAAGGAGTGGTCCAGGCTACTTGATTTTAATCCATTTTTAGAAATCTGAATGTACTCCAAGATTGGTCTAGTGGCTATTGTTGATCAATGTTATTTCTGTCCATCTCTAATTTTAATGTTCAATCATCACATAATTCTGATGGCATATTGCACTGCTAGTTACAAGTCAACCATTGATTTCCATTGATCTTTTTGGAAAGCAATTGCAATAATTGATTAGGAATAAACTAACTAAGAGAGAGGAAGGCAGAGTGAGAAGAGGTGGGAAAATGACTTTTCTGTGGCTAAGAAGCACTGGAAAAAAATTATTTGAAGTCTGGCAGAGATTTCCAGATTAAAATGGGCACATGGTGACTTTTTCCAAAGCTATGCCATATGTGTAGCTGATTTCATTAAATCTCACAGGGTGAAATTCATCCCAGGCAGAGGGACAATATTAGATCTATGTAACACAAAGAAGTCTCTTAAACACTATTTTTACAATTTACACTGGACTTAACTGGTCAATGAGCCTTGTGGAGGCCCTCTGCACAATGGTGAATTTCATGCTGAACAAATGATAAATCTGAAGGTTCCCACTCACTTCTTCCTCCTTCCAGTTTGCCCTTAAATGTCTCTAGGCAGTCCTTCTGATTACTATTAATTCCTTGAACACATGTAGCTACACTGACAGGTATGAAATTTGATTTTACAATTACCACTGAGGAAGGAAATGGAATGCCAGAAGGTTGATAGTAAAATTCCAGGTTTTACTGATGAGTAATATGGGTGGTCATATAATTTATATAAATCTGCACTAATTCGTGTGACACAAATGCTGAGATTATTTCAAAAATGTCCCATGAATGTTATATTTTATCATGTAGACTATGCCTTGTCACTAAAGAGAAGCCCTAATATGTTTTAATTGGAACACATAAGTCCCTTAACTATTTTATCATGAGCAGTAAGCTACAATATAAAGAGTGGTAACTAGCCTTAAGAATTTAGCAAGTTTTTGTAAGACCATGGTAAGAATAAATGCTGTTTTCAAAGCACTAAAGTGTTGACTGAGAAATCGCTTTACTGAACATGGTAAAGTAATACTGTTAAGAGAAGTAAACTTCAGATTTTTAAGCCCTAAGGAAGATAGGGTATGTCTACACTACCCTCCTAGTTCGAACTAGGAGGGTAGTGTAGACATACCCATATTGTCTATAGAGAAGCTTAATTTCTGAGAGATGCAAACTACCACCGCTCAAGCTTACTTAACCTCCAAATCCTCTCTGATCACAAGAAGTATGCATGTAACACTTTAAACATTTATTTAAAAAATAAGCAAAAACAGTCATTTGTAGAATATTTAAAAAATTGTCATCTAAAGAACAAGATAGATGCACACTTTACATCAAAATATAGAAAAATGATAATACATTGCTTAAAGAGAATATTTATTTGGCTTCTGGGAATTTACACATGAACAATACAGATATATCAAACCCTGTGAGAGTATAGTTTTTAGAACTGACTTTTGGAAAAATGTACTCTGAACTAAAGACAACAGTATTAACAAAAAAAACCCACTGTAGTAAATGGAAAGATTTCTATTAGCTTTAACAGTCTTAGTAATCTTTAGAACAGGCTCTGTGGGAATACATGAATCAGAGGACCAAAAAATAAAAATAAATGGGGGGGGGGGGAACTTCTCTGAATGAATTGTATTTGTCCAGATAAACTTTCCATTCAAAACAGGCTGTAAATTCAATGCAAATTCAAATTACAAGCAATGCAAATTCAAATTACAAGCAATAAGGCTACAGGAACAGGAACATATGGAAGTCTAAAAGACACAATTTTCTCAGTGGCAATGAAATGTGTTGTTTATGCAGATGCTTTGATTGACAGCTTGGTTGAAATATGAAGCGTTTCTTAGACAGAAGGCTCTCTCTTTACAGCAGTGGCTTACCATTGTTTTGTCCCCATTTTAAATGTTGTTTTATTGTTTTTTCCCAAAAGCAGAAGATTTCTTAAAGCTATCAGAAGAATTTTGTTCTAAAAAAAGTCTTGCCTGCTGATTGATTTATGCAAAGTAAGTGATTTGTATTTTTCTTTCTAAATGTCAGATTCAAAAAAGTGTGTTTTTATACATAGAAACTTTCATCTCTCCGCAATAAATGAGATTTGTTTTAACACTTCAAGGCTTAGTGAGGTTGTTATAGAAAAGAAAACTGAGAGGAATAAAACTTTCATATATTTGTAGGTGTTATCATTTACATTTAATGGAAATATGGTAATACATGACCTTATTTTAAAATGTAAATCTGTTGTTTTAGAGACAGTCAAGTATTCAGTATGTATAGTGTTCATTTTGTTCAGTACTTTCCAAAGATTAAATATTATATTATTAATTTTTATAATATTACTTAACTTTAGTAGAGTAATTTAAGTCTATCTTAAGAATTAAGACCTCTAAGAAATCCAGTAAAGTAAATTAGACACATGGTTCAAGCAACAGAATCCAAAGATTACAATATCTGACAAGGGACACAACTTGACCTTCTAGAGAATAAAGATATTCTTTTCCATTTCCCTAAAATTTGGCATCACAAATCATTGGGTCTTCCTGTCCAAATACAACTTTAACAATTGTAGTTTTTTGGAATTTAAGGACAAGCTCTCTGAGAAGGTCATGGTGACTTACAGGACTTACTGGATGAAGGATGGTTGGTGGGAAAAACTTTTATTCAACTCATGGTGGAACTGACAGATACTGCACGTAGGGGCATGCTGTCATTGTTATGACAAGAAACTCATGGTTAAAATCTACATAGAATCTACATACAATCATAGAACACTAGAACTGGAAGGGACCTCGAGAGGTCATCAAGTCCAGTCCCCTGACCTCACGGCAGGATCAAGCACTGTCTAGATCATCCCTGATTGATAGATGTCTATCTAACCTGCTCTTAAATATCTCCAGTGATGGAAATTCCACAACCCCCTTAGGCAATTTATTCCAGTGTTTAACCATCTTGACAGTTAGGAAGATTTTCCTATTGTCCAGCCTAAACCTCCCTTGCTGCAGTTTAAGCCCATTACTTCTTGTTCTATCCTCAGAGACCAAGGAGAACAATTTTTCTCCCTCCTCCTCGCAACACCTTTTTTAGATACTTGAAACCCGCTATCATGTCCATCTCAGTCTTCCCTTTTCTAAACTAAACAAACCCAGTTCTTTCAGTCTTCCGTCAGGGTATGGCTACACTACAGCACTAATTTGAACTAACTTAATTCAAATTAGTTAATTTGAACTAAGCTAATTCGAACTAGTGCATCTAGACCTAAAAACTAGTTCGAATTAACATTTTGCTAATTCGAACTAGCATGTCCACATTGAGTGGACCCTGAACCGAGGTTAAGGATGGCCGGAAGCAGTGCCGGCAGGGCATCAGATTTCAGGGGTTCCCCGCTTGCAAAGCAGTCCTGGCTTGAAGTGCCCTGAGTGCCCACACTCGGCACATCACAACACTCGGCCATCAGCCCTGCTGCACTCCGGAGGGGGGGTCAATCAAGGGGCTTCAGGAGAGCTTCCACCCCGAGGAGCCCGCAGAGCCACCCCAGTCCTCTCCATTGGGGGCTCGTACCCCATTCCTCCCTCATCTCCTTCCACTTACCCCTCCCTAGCCCCCTCTTCCTGATGTACAAAATAAAGGACACGTGTGTTCAAAAATAGAAACTCTTTATTGTACAAAACTCGGGGAGACTGGGAAAAGGAGGTGGGAGAGGGGAGGGCAACTAAAATGATCAGGGGTTTGGAAAGGTCCCATATGAAGAGAGGCTAAAGACACTGGGACTTTTCAGCTTAGAAAAGAGGAGACTGAGGGTGGATATGATAGAAGTCTATAAAAGCACGAGTGGTGTGGAGAGGGTGCATAAAGAAAAGTTCTTCATTAGTTCCCATAATAGAAGGACTAGAGGACACCAGATGAAATGAATGGGTAGCGGGCTTCAAACTAATAACAGAAAGTTCTTCTTCACAAAGCAAACAGTCAACCTGTGGAACTCCTTGCTGCAGGAGGCTGTGAAGGCAACAACTAGAACAGAGTTTAAAGAGAAGTGAGATAAAGTCATGGAGGTTGGGTCCATGGAGTAGTACTAGCCAGGAGATAGGAGTGGTCTCCCTGCCCACAGTTTGTGGAAGGCTGGAGATGGATGGCATGAGACAAATGGCGTGGTCATTGTCTTCGGTCCATCCCCTCCAGGGTCCCTAGTGTTGGCCGCTGTCGGCAGACAGGCTACTGGGCTAGATGGACCTTTGGTCTGACCCAGTACGGCCATTCTAAGCTCAGGGCTCAGGGTCGGGGATCTCACTGGACCACCCTGATTTTCATGCAAACCTGCTCCTGGGTGGCCAGGCTAGAAGCTATCCTGCCCTAGATGGCCACTTTCCTGTGCCTAGTGCGGAGGTCATGGATGAGGTCCACGATCTCCGCACTAGACCAGGTGGGTGCCCGCCTCTTGTGGA